CCCTGGCGGACTGACCCCCGGCTGCCAAGACTGTTTTATATCAGTGAATGAAAAACAGTCTCACCTCATGTTTCTGTTCCGGTCTTCTCTCCGGAGCACTTCCTCTCTGTGCTGTGAGGTCAGTTCAGGGGCTTGACTTTCACCACATCTTCATGTAATGAAGATCTGAAGACAGAAGAAAGCCCCACTCAGATCAGCTCTTGACTGTCACTCGCTCTGTTACCGACTTACTTTTAACCCACTGGTTGTATTTATAAGGTCATTGATTGCTTCACTTCTTTTTTTCACAAATCTGAGCAGTTGCATCCAAACCGGCTGCTAATCTGTGTGCTGTAATCACAGGTAATCCCTGAGGCTGTAGTAAGTATGAGTGTGTGAGTATGAAACTCCTAGCATGTTGTTTGTGGGCTGTAGACAGCATTTACAGGCACACGCTTGTTTAAAGGTCACAGTGATGGAGGGAGACTAATAAGCAGTGACAGCATGTCCTTTAAAGTGATACGGAGTAAGGTCATCACCAGGGCAGCGTAGTAAAGCTCTGACTCTAATAACACATGACGTTAAAAAAGTAAACTATCAAACCACAGATGACCCTGCATCAGCCCCAAATTCCAAAAAGAGTCGCAGCTAAAGGGGATTTTCATTTTACAGCTTCATTTGTGGCTTTTGATGCTTAACATCAGAGAAAACTAAATGCAAATATTAAGACTTCATGTTAACTTCTCAGCTGCTGCAGTAAATATTCAGATTGCAGAGGTTACAGAGGTTGCGACTCACTCCTGTACGGGACCACGCCTGTTGTGTCTGATCCCAGGTGTCTGCTTCATGACGTTAATATAAAGGAGACTGTTTATTTGCTGTTCTTCTATCCACCAAACAACCCTTCCAAACCCAGGGATGATTACAGCTTTCTCTGACTAACCAGGCTAACCTTCAGCAGGGAGAAGACTTTTACTACCTGCAGCAGTGAGAGTAAAGAGCTGGCTCTTCAGGTGTCGCCCTGAGCTGTAGGATAAGGAGGGATTGAGAGGAGCATAATCCCTCGCACATGGCTAAAGCGCCTTTGATCTGGAGATAAACGTGCCAAGTCACGAGCTGCTTGACATCTCATGCTTTGTAGTGCTTCCTCTGGAAGAGATGCAGCCCAGTGTTGAACCTGCACCACTCACTGCACCAGTTGACCACAGAAAGCCTTACATAATAGTTTCTGTTATGGTCCTGGCAGATCTGAGGTTTTCTCCTTTTTCCTCCCTCTGTTGTCTCTCTTCTGTCTGTTGTAGCTCTCTCTCACTCTTGGGTGGAGTAACGGGCTGGCGTTTTCTCGCTTGCCTGACTGCAGGTGGAGTTTCTTTCTCTGAGGCTTTCTCCACCACACCCATTCTGCACTGGATCATTGACTCATGCTATTTGGGCGACCGTGGCTCAGGGGGTTGGGAAGCATATCTATAATCGGAAGGTCGCCGGGTCGATCCCCGGGCTCTCTGTCCTGGTCGTTGTGTCCTTGGGCAAGACACTTTACCCTACTGGTGATGGCCAGAGGGGCCAATGGCGCGACATGGCAGCCTCGCTTCTGTCAGTCTGCCCCAGGGCAGCTGTGGCTACAACCGTAGCTTGCCTCCACCAGTGTGTGAATGTGAGAGTGAATGAATAGTGGCATTGTAAAGTGCCTTGAAAAGCGCTATATCAATCCAATCCATTATTATTATTAAGGACCAACTCAGGCTGCTGCTCTCTATCAGGTTATTGTTGGTGTTGTCATCAACCTGGCTCTCTTGTTTGTTCTCTAAAGTGATAACACTAAGTTTAAAAGATACTTCCAGCCTTTTCCCTGGATCTCCCTGGAATCCCGTCTGCCTGCCAGCTTCCCCTCGTGCACCTGTTTAACACTCAGACAAGTACAGTCTCAAACCATCAATGTAAAATCTCATCATACTCACCTTGGAGGCTCCTCCTTTCCTCTGTCCTCCTGCCAGAAACTTCATTCCCATGTTTAAAAGAATAAAATCAGTAAAACTTCTATCATATCAATATATTTAAGTAGTGCTTTATAATATGGCCTGTGACTTAGGGTACAGTTGCCTTATTATTTATGCAATTCCAACCAATTTTATCAAAAATTAGCACATAATTATAATTTATCTACAAATCCTTGTGGATACACTAGAATAACGGAGTACCGATTCAACTTTTTACAAGGAAAAACAAATAAATCTACTGTAAGTAATCTTACCATTTACGTGGGGCGATCGTGGCTCAAGAGTTGGGAGTTCGCCTTGTAATCGGAAGGTTGCCGGTTCGAGCCCCGGCTTGGACAGTCTTGGTTGTTGTGTCCTTGGGCAAGACACTTCACCCGTTGCCTACTGGTGGTGGTCAGAGGGCCCGGTGGCGCCAGTGTCCGGCAGCCTCGCCTCTGTCAGTGTGCCCCAGGGTGGCTGTGGCTACAATGTAGCTTGCTATCGCCAGTGTGTGAATGGATGGGTGGATGACTGGATATGTAAAGCGCTTTGGGGTCCTTAGGGACTAGTAAAGCGCTATATAAATACAGGCCATTTACCATTTACCATTTATCTATCGATGGGCGACCATATCAACGACTCCTGAAGAGATGAAACATGTCTGAGCTGTAACTGTATCCTCAAAGAGTAGAAAAATCATTATCAATGTATCAAATCCTTGTTGATTTCATTAAGCAGTTAAATGGTATCTAAAACAGAAGACAGGATCAGTGATTTTAGAAAATGAACTCATGTCTATGTGCAATGGAGAATTTTCAGACTGTCAAGTTCACCTCGCTGAATAAAAAACTCCACATTATCCTGCTCTGTCTCCGTGTAATCTTTTAGATATGTCACATGATGATGTGCCATTTATCGTATGCAAACAATAGTCTGACTGTATTCTGTGATCGTGGCAGATAGATAGCTTATCTCTATGAATACTGATAGGCTTACAGCCCCTCTCTGTAAAAAAACATGCAGAACGCTGTCTGTGCTGTTGTTTTTTTATCTCCTCATGATGCTGCATTATGCTTCTATTATCTGCTGTCTGTCTGCATGTTAGGATGGATGACTCATTTACAGTAGACCTGTGTGTGCTGCATTTTATGGTAATAATGGTAATATATACATACATATATATATACACACACACGTCTACATTTTACAGAGTGAAACTGGGTAAACTTGAGGGATGGGACACGCTTCCTTTGCTATGAGGTCTACATGTGCCTGCAGAACAGGGATAGAGGAGGGTTTTCCAGGCTTTCCTTCTTGAATGGAGCAATGATCTTACATTTAATGTCAGCTGTAGCACAAGAAGAGCGACCAGTCAGTGTGCAGACAGCTTTCCAGTGTTCCAACATTGTGTGACGCATTTCAGGTCAGCGTAAATCATTTATTCCATCCATCTGACATGGTGATGGGCACCTAACTGAAGAGCGGGAATCCCTTGGGAGACAATCGCCAAAAATGATTAATGTCAGCTCGAAAAGTTTGTTGAAGTCATCACGAGGCTGAGCAGATTCCACCTTGTGGGTGTCCAAGTGACAGTCAGGTTTGTTTGGTGTCCTTACCGCGACCTTGAGCTATCTTTTTTTAGGAAATTGGAATCAGAAAAACATGATTATTGATTTTTTTTACTATGTTGCTGTGTACAATCATTCAAAAACAAAAAAGTCCTGGCATTAAACCAACGGGTATGTAACAGCAAACCCTCTAAAATCTCTGAAGAGGAACTGAAAAGCCAGAAAACATTCTGAAAGCTGAACTTGTCCTTTCAGGTTAACCCTGTGGCATCACCATGGCACCTCTGAGGTCTTCCTGAGTATCTATAACATCATCTGTATGAATATTAAGGAGACACTACAGAAGGGCTTAAATCAAAATCATTATGGATGTACAGAGTAGATAAGTGTACTGTCAAACAACTGAGTCCTTGATGGTTTTATCATTATCATTCATGCATTTGTCAAAGATTCTTTTAGGTGATGTACACAAACCTCAAAAAAAGATTCTTCCACACAGTGAATACACTTCTAGACCTGCTGTGTTAACATCCTGGCTTTAATTTTACAGGAAGAGAGACAATTCTCAGACCAGCTTTTGAATGATCATACAGTATTATATAATTTATACAGCATTATTAGTTTTGTGGATTTGTTTTAACATTCTGCAATAAACTATGCATATTTGTTTCTGAGAAAAATCATTATTACTGGGAAAATACAGCAGAGGGTGCAGTTTATGAAGGCATGATGTGGTAAGGTAGGTGGAGACAAGCAGGTGTTTGAGTCACAGAAGAGCTCAGACATACTCTGCTGCACTCTAGTGGTGTAAACATAGAGGGGGAAGTATTTTTCCATACACTGAGTCACTAAAATTACTAGATCATCTTGTTAAAGCCTAATTTTCTGTTTAACACAGAGATCACATTTGTTTGTCACAGTTATATGATAGAAGCACAGGTCTATGATAATGCACTCCCCAATAGCAGCAGCCTCCCTCAGCAGTGTAATATTAATGAGCAACAGTAGATTCAGGGCTCAGATTGTGAATCCACGGAGCAGAAATAGTTAGTTTAGCAAACTTTCAGCAGTATTTCTCTGTAGAAGTGTAGTTGTTGATTTCACCATCGTACATCATCATGCCGACTATTAAATATGCACAACTTCAGCCTGCTCAGCAGACCAGATTCTTCAAACATTCATGATTATTACCGGATATCCATCTGTTCAATTAGAAGTCACTGATTCTCAAACTGTGGGGCGGGACCCATCTGTGGGACACAGTGTAAGTGGGCCTTGGATGAACAAGAGGAACATTATAAAATAAAATGACTTCTGAAAGGAAAACTAAACAAACATGAGTTTGCTGACGCTCATGTGCTGATCTTTCATTTGTTGTTCTACTTGGATTTATGTAATGAATTCAAAAGTGCCTCCAGTGGGGGCGTGAGCTTTTCTGTGCATGCAGAAAAAATGTTAAAGAAATGGGAGGAGCAAGTTTCCAGTTTACACAGCAATGTGATTTATTTATATCAGCATCAGAAATATAAAGTGGAACAGTAATAACACATTTCGCAGCCCTGCGGTCTAGTGATCAGAGGTGGTCATTTTCTTTATGTATTGGAGCTTTTTTTGTTTTTTCCATCATGAAACTTCAGATTTAGAGATGACCGAGCAGAGCAGCAGAGCACCTATTTGCCTCAGCTGTGAAAACAAAAGACAAGTCCTATTCTCAGAGAATCACATCAGAGTACAAATACATCCTTGGGCAACGAATGCTACAGTAAGACAGGCTTGTTGCAGTGGGGTTGGCGTGTGTCAGTAACGAAATACAACAGATAAAAATGACTCACTCCAAACTTTATAAAGTCACGTAACTTTTAAGCAGCGCTACAAAACTTGTAACGTGACGAAGGTGTTGCTGTACAGAGCTGACAGGACACTTTATAATGGAAACTAATGTTACTATGGTAACCATTCCTTAAATGCAGAAGCTGTGGTGACGAGAGCGAACAAGCATTCAAACTCACGAGCAGCTCTGCTGCTGTAAGCTGTTGTCATGTAATGTAAAGGGCACCCATTGTAAAGCTTAAAATGATGCCGCGGTTGTGGAAGCATCATCTTTCCATGAGGTCATCAAACAGTTGGAGTTTTCAGTTTGTTTGTTTTTTTAAAGAGTGGACATTTCCATGACTCAGCTTTGGTTAGAAATGAAGTGGACACTTTTCTTTTTTTGTCAGTGTAGTCTGAAAAAGGTTACATTTACAGGAGGGCAATCTTTCAAAGATCTCAAAGGAGTCTAAAAGTGTCAGTTAAGGGTTTTCCAAAATGTTCAAACACATCCACTTGTTTTTTCATACATCAAATACATTTTAATGTAACTGCTCCAGACAGACATTAAGTTCAGAAGTCACTATTGTGGTGCTGAAAATGTGAGATTTCTAATTTATTTAGAAAACAAACAGCTGGTTCAGATGGTTGGACAAAAACAAGCATCGCAAATGATTCCTTTGGTTTGATGGGCTTGAAGATTACTTCTGATTTTTGCTACTGGTGGGATTTAAAATTCCTGAAAACATGTGTTAATAGCAACTATCACAGCCCTAAATAACTCTGATACTGTAACAGGAGGATCTATATTTAGGTGGCGTCAGGCCACACACAGTGGTTTGTCACACTGGGCCTATTGTGTCATCAGTCCATCAGCTTCATTTGCATGACAGGGAACAGGAAGACACTCGCAGCGTGTCCACACCCTACAGGTCGACCCTTGCTTTTTAAACATCTGTGCGTGCACACATGATTTATTCTCTTACTCTTTATGTTTTTATGAAATATAAACATATGAATGGTCAGAAAACATCTTTACATTATTTACAAAGTGACCAGCAGAGTTTGACTTTGATGTGATGGAAGGCAGTAAAGTTTCTACTCTCCTTTTACAATCAAGGAGCTTCTACTGGTGATTGATTGGCTACATTAAGCTTTAAGGCAATGCACTGTTGAGAGTGTTGTTTCCATCAAGGCAATGGCACAATGTATTCTAAAAGGCAAGTGGTGCAAAGTGGACGGCGGTGCTGCACTTACATGATGTTTACATTACTTTTTATTTTCTGAAATATGAAGAACTTCCAATATCTGAAAAGCAAAGACCGTCGTTTGTCAGCTCCTGCTGCTGTACTGAAGATTTTTACTGAATCCTTAAAAGCTCATCAAACCATCTGAATTTACAAACAGCTAATACTTCATTTGGAGAAACATTTGGTTTGGTTGCACTACAGAAATAAACAAAAGTATTAGCGCACACCTCAGAAATCTCAGTTTGTGTTTCCATGTCCAAGCAGCTCCTGTCAGTGTAATCTGTAGCTGGTAGTTTTGTCCATATAATGCATATACTATAACATATCATCTTAGCATGTTTATGTTCAATTTGTGTGATGTAGAAGAAAATGTATAACCTCTGCCAGCTGTTTTTGTTCACACTGGTGCAACAAAGTATCTAATCTATTTTTGAGTTTGTCATTCGTGAACCATACTTTTGTCCTAGAGTCATTTTTGACTGAACGAAGAGAAAATGCAGTCGCAGCCTGAGAAACTCTCTGAACATCTTATTCTGAGTGTTTTTAAATGCTTGAAATTGTTTCCAAGAATTTAAGGAAAAACCTTCAGTACAGCGAATCTTTCTTTTTTAATAATAAATTTATCACTGGGGATAAATTTAAATGAGCCTGTTTCTGCGTCGTGATGATACTCATGACAGCAACAAACTAGATCCAGGCTGAATTACAACCACGGGCTTACTGTTGTAATTGAACAAGCCTAGAGAAAATATGAGACGACAATGTTCACAGTAGAAAAATTAGGTCAGACTCTAAAAACATGACTGATGATGGCATCAGTGTCTTTGTGTTTCTGTTGCGCTCGGTGGTTTTCTTTCACAGCGTTAGCGTTTTTTTCATGTATTAGCTGAAACAGGAAACATTTCCCACGTGCATGTCTACTCCAAAATATTATGGAGGAGTCCTAACACATTTACAAACTACTGATACAGTACGAGAAGTACCACGGTTGGTATACACACTGGCATAATATGTGTGACTTTTATATATTGTTGTAACATTAATACAGTATACCAGGAATTTCTTAAAAAGTGACATTGCAGTTATTTTTTTGTAAAACTGATCTGATTTTGTCTACATCGTCATCATCATGCAGAACCAAATGAACAAGTCTACTTTTTCTGCTGGTGCAAGGCCACTGCGATCGTTCTGAGGTATCAAGCAAAAAGAATCACAAAGCAAACGGAGCGCTGTTAGTCTACGGGAAGAAGCAGCAAAGTGAAAAAGACACCGTGACAGCAGCGAGGTGAGGTACAACAAATCTCGTAACCCTGAATGAAACAGACGCTGAAAGTCGGTCTCAAATCTGTCAGAGCTAATTAGCAGCTTTATGTAGTCGTGTCTGACGTCAACAGCGTCACAGACACCAAAACATACTGAACGCAGACAGCTAAGCAGGCAAAGAGGCTGCAGTGTAAAAGCACCAATTCGCCATTTGTCAGTTTAGATTTCTTCCGACCCTTAGAAACAAAAACAAAAAACAAGAAGAGGAAATGAGGAACGTGTGCACTTCATTGCATCTTGCTCTTTGTGATTCGTAAACCTGATACAGAGCCAGCTACAGAGGGATTCTTACACAGTGAGAAAGCTTAACATGCTTTTGTTTGATATGCATGGATAACTCTAGACGAGCAGAGCGAACGTGAGTTCACGCCAAAGCAGGTAAAAAAAAAAAAAAAAAAACAAGCAAAAAAAAAAAAAAAAGTCCTCTCTTCCTGCTTCCTGTTATCCTGCAGTCAGGTTTTTTTTTGTTTTGTTTTGTTTTTTACTTCCAGCTCGGCTTCCTGCTTCTGCTGGATGTCATCAAGTCTCTGGGCTGCACAGACTTTTCAGAGAAGCTGCTAGATTTACGAACGTTCTCACGTGCTACAGGGGGAGGCGGGGTCTCGCTACGGTAGGTGCTGCAGCTTGTTGCCTTCACGCTTTGCACCCGCCGCAGGCTTGTTGCCTGTGGCCGCTCGTCACTGGTGTGACCTGCGTGTGATGCCCGGGTCGGCTTTTGTCGACCCAGGAGGGAGGGGCTGCGAGACGGGGTGGAAGGGACCGACGGAGGGCCCAGCTCTTTCCTGGTCCTGGAAGACGAGGCCACAGTATTGCGGGCGAAGCTGGGGACTCCAGAAGTGTTTTTTGCACTGTGTGTGTGTGAACTGCTGTTCTCAGGAGATGTCTGAGCTTGAGCTTGAGCCTGAGCGAGGGCTCTCATAGTAGAGCGGCACATCTTCTCCTCAGGCGCCGGCTTGGGAATGTTCCTCACGGGTTTGGCGCTTGGCTTGTGGATTGAAGCTTTCCTAGGCATTGAATCACGTGCCCATCTAGAAACGCTGCCCGTGAGAGCACCTCCCTTCTGGGCTTTTGACTCATCAGGAGGCAAACTGGAGTGCCGAGGAGGTCTCGTTGTCTTCTCGCTCCTTCCTCTTGCCGGAGTGCTCTGGTCACGGGGAGGCCGCCGTGTCTCCCCGCTATCGTGAACTGCAGGTTTCTCTGCTCGCCTGCTGCTACCTGTCCTGGTCAGCTTGGTAATAGGGATGACTTTCCGCATACCCTGGTTATCGTTGTTGGCCAGCGTTCGCACACCATGGCCTGCACTGGTTTTGGTTGCTTTGCTGCCTTTGCTCTTTGTAGGCGCTGGCTTTCGGCTGCTTCGTTGTGCATCTTTCCCCGCAGTCTGTTTTCCTTCAGCGGTGTCGCAGCTCTCCGTGTCCCACTCTTCTGTGGTAGTAGATGGAGCCATAGATGCTGCATCCACAGATTTGGGGGCTGAGAGCTCATTAGTTGAAGCAGACTGGTCGTTGGGAGATGTGGATTGCGGGTCTTGCCGACTCTCCTGATCTTTGATGCAGTCAGCTGTTTGGAAATGAAGTCCTTCTTTTGTAGACGAGGATTCCACCTCAGAGCAATCCAAGGTGACAGAGATGTCCGTTTCTGTGCAGTCCATTATATAAAACATTGGCTTCTTGTTGGATACAGAGGTATCTAGTGGAAGAGGGGTATCACAGGTTGTGGATGAAACTGTGCTGTAGTCCTCTTCGTCTTTCTCTCTCTGAGGAGAGACCCCAGCCTGAGTTGGAGGAACTATTGTATCTTCCCATACTACCTTTAGATTTCCCCCCCTTTCCAAAAATGTATCATGTGAAAGGTTGTCCAGATTCTTGGGTGGTGACTGTCTCCCTATTTCCAGATCCGTCACCACAACGTCCCCCCGGTTGACAAAGTGCATGTGATTGCTGTTATTGTTTGGACTGATTAGGTCAAAAGCCTGAGGACCTCGGACTAAAGTATGCTTCTCCACACTAACACTCATGTGGCCAGTAATTGCTGGGTTGGGAATATGGGCAGGCTTCTGAAAGACACAAAAGGGCCGAGGCAGAGCGCTGCTCTCTGACACAGATGAGTAATTGTTGTTGTTGTTGTTGTCCCCGTTATCGTTTAGCTCAGAGGAAGAAAACTTGGCGTGTGAGACGATCGGCTCAGTTTCTGAATGCGGAGACGTTGCTTTTCTTTCACGGCCCAGTTCCCGGTTATTGTCCTGGCCTAACATCCAGGGGGCCATCCTCCGCTGGATAGGACGGCCTAACCGAGGTAGGCTGTTAAATTTTGAAAAGTCAGAGGTGTTCCCTGTGCTTCCGAACAGCTCCAAGTATCCCTGGAGTTCACGATCTGCTATGGAGGTCATGGTGTGTCGGTGTCGGCGTGCGCTGGCAGAACGTTCCAGCGGGCAGTGTGGACTCTGAGACCTCTGGAAAAACTCCAGGAGGCCCTCCTTGGTGAGCATTTCCACGTCGTTCTCGCTGCTGCTGCGACCAAATCCGCCGGTCTGATCCCCGCTCGACCACGCAAAACGCTTTTCCTCCAGTTCTTTGAGACGACGCTGTCTGGCTGCTTCCTTCAACTCCCGGTCCGTGTTGTCCTGATGGAAACAGAAATGTAAGGAAGGAGAATTCTGAGAATCAGGAACATGAATGATGGTGACATCCAACTCACTTATTTTTGAGTTTTTTTAACAGTGGATCACCATGAACAATTACCACGCATATAGAAGACAAGCAAGAAATGACAACATCATATGAGATTATAATAACCCAGAATTATTGCTTCACTCAAGCAGACCTTAACAGCTTTCTTGAATTTGATGCAGAAGTCCTGAAAGATCCGGAAGCCCTCGTCCAGCTTGAACGTGTCCTTGTCTTCACAAAAGAAATCGATGAGAGTACTTCCCTCTTTACGCAGATCCAGCCTGCGTCTCTTTAAGTCCTGAAGTGTCAGTGCTGCACTCTAAGACAAGAGACCGAGCACACATGCACACTTTTTATTCATAACGCATCATCCACTTTTACACAAGTCATTATCTATAGCACTTAAGTCAGCAGCTTCACAAATGTAGAGCGGGCTGGATCCAACTTTCTGTACATGTGTCTGTGTACACAATGTATTACATAACTAACTGCTGCTGCTTCACCTGCAGGAAGGGCTCCAGCTGCTGCAGCAGCTCCTGGTCTCCTTGAACTTTCTCTTCCAGGGATTTGATTCGGACATACAAGGAGGAAAACTCCTCCTCAATGTTTTCCACTGAAATTCTACATGAACACAGGAGAAAGATATTTAAAACACACTTGTACTTGTTATTACATAAAAACTGACGGACAGGAGTGTAAGCAGTCTTCCTTATATTACTTAAAAAAAACAAACAAACATGTGACATTAATTTGATGAATGCACTTCCAAACTGTTGAAAATGTAGACCGCAGGGAGAAATGCTTTCAGGGTCTCTATCCTGAGGGCAGGAGAGAGGAGTAATTCTCTGCGGTGCAGTATCTGCACTGACAGCACACAGAGATGACCTTGTGAAGCTGACAGAGCCTGAGACTGTGCTGTGAATATAACTCCTGTTCTACACCTAAATTAGATGTCAGCCTGGTTAATGAGGCTGTGCTTGGCCGTATCAATAAAATACTACGGCAATCGTCGTCTTCAGCGCCTCATTATGTTTCCCATCAGAAAATTTGGCTGTTTAATAAATGTGATGGTGGTTAATTTGGAAATCATTTCATTTTACAGAGGCTTTACAGAAAACTGATGTCTGCTGTGCAACTGACTGATACAAACTGACACTTATGCTCTCACAGTCCTTAACTCACCCTGCTTCAGACTGCATGCACTTGGAGAATAAACAGCTTTTATACGAGTCCATTATCACCTCTGCATGACTGCAAAACTGATAATGGACTCCTACATTTCTCACTGGCAAGGATTTGATTCCCTTCGATTACCTGGCTGCACTCTGGACATCTTGAAGCTTCTCAGGAAACTTGAGCAACTTCTCGTCCTTTTTCTTCGCCTCCTGCATGGAGAGAGACATCGCACAGTCAACATCTAAATGTCTGATTTTGTACAAGATAAAGTGGCGTAGTTGTTGTGATGAAGGACCAATATCTGTATGGTGATGTAACTGCTTGGCGAGCCGTTCTTGGCTCTGTGCTGTTTCCTGTCACCATCTGCTGTCCACCTGCTCTCCTGCAGCTTCAGTGGTCAAACAGTTTTCTCATCACTGCTGTAAAACACTGATTTGAATTTCTTTATGACAGACTTTCCTACAGTGTTTGTACAGTAAATGCATCTTTGCTTATTGTGAGGTTAATCCAGCTTTTTTCAGTTCTGCTATCGTCTTGTTAATACAACCATAAACCTGTTAATATAACCATTCATCATTTTTAAGATAAATGCACAGAGTAGCGGTTTGACACAGGCAAGGCAAGGCAAGTTTATTTGTATAGCACAATTCAACAACAAGGTGATTCAAAGTGCTTTACAGAGACATTAGAAACAAGAACAAATAAAAAGCATGATTTAAAATTGATTAAAACAAGCAAATAAACTAACTAACTAATTAACAAACAAACAAACAAACAAAACAGTATATAAAATCAAAACAGATAAAATCAGTAGTTAAATGTAAGTTTTGAAATTTAAGCTTAAAGTGTGGATTTGGTGCTTTATTCAAATGCAGCTGAGAACAGGTGCGTCTTCAACCTGGATTTAAATAAACTGAGTGTTTCAGCTGATCTGAGGCTTTCTGGGAGTTTGTTCCAGATATAAGGAGCATAAAAGCTGAATGCAGCTTCTCCGTGTCTGGTTCTGACTCTGGGAACTGATAAAAGACCGGATCCAGATGACCTGAGGGATCTGGAAGGTTCATACTGGGTCAGGAGGTCATTGATGTATTTTGGTCCTAAACCATTCAGAGCTTTATAGGCCAGCATCAGAACTTTAAAGTCTATCCTCTGACGGACAGGCAGCCAGTGTAAGGACCTCAGAGCTGGACTGATGTGGTCCACTTTTTTGGTCTTAGTGAGGACTCGAGCAGCAGAGTTCTGAATGAGCTGTAGTTGTCTGACTGATTTTTTAGGTAGACCTGTAAAGATGCTGTTACAGTAATCAAGCCTACTAAAGATGAATGCATGGACTAGTTTTTCCAGGTCCTGTTGAGACATCAGATCTTTTATCCTTGATATATTCTTGAGGTGATAGTAAGCTGACTTTGTTATTGTCTTAATGTGTTTTTCTAAGTTTAGGTCTGCATCCATCACTACACCCAAATTTCTCGCCTGGTTTGTGGTTTTTAGATGTATAGATTGAAGTTCTCTGGTGACCTGTAATCGTTTTTCTTTGGCGCCAAAGACTATTACCTCAGTTTTGTTTTTGTTTAGCTGGAGAAAATTGTGGCACAACCAGTCATTGATTTCCTCAATGCATTTACCAAGAGCCTGCACAGGGCCTCGGTCTCCTGGTGACATTGTGATATATATTTGTGTGTCGTCTGCATAGCTGTGATAGTTTATTTTGTTGTTGTTTATAATCTGTGCCAGTGGGAGCATGTAAATGTTAAACAGAGGGGGTCCCAAGATGGAACCTTGGGGAACTCCACATGTGATGCTTGTCTGCTCAGATGTGAAGTTACCTATTGATACAAAGTATTTCCTGTTTTCTACGTATGTTTTGAACCAGTTTAGTACAGTTCCTGAAAGACCTGCCCAGTTCTCCAGTCGTTTGAGTAATATGTTGTGGTCAACTGTATCAAATGCTGCACTGAGATCCAGTAAAACTAAGACTGACATTTTTCCACTGTCTGTATTCAGACATATGTCATTAAACACTTTGGTCAGAGCGGTTTCAGTGCTGTGGTTCTGTCTAAAACCTGACTGGAAGGCATCGTAGCAGTTATTCTGTTTTAAGAAGTAACTGAGCTGTTGAGAAACTGCTTTTTCAATGATCTTACTTAAAAATGGGAGATTTGAGATCGGCCTGTAGTTGTTCATTTGTGTCTTGTCAAGATTGTCCTTTTTCAGTATAGGTTTGATTACAGCAGTTTTTAGTGATTCTGGAAACACACCTGATAATAAAGAAAAGTTGACGATCTGTAACAGGTCTGACTCTAAAGTCTTTGAGACCTTTTTGAAAAAACTTGTTGGCAGGACATCTAAACAGCAAGAGGAGGAGTTCAGTTTACCTAAGATGTCCTCCAGGGGCCTGTTCTTCGTACCTCGCTAAGTAAGTTAGCTGGATTAGATTGTTGACGATTTTGCGTGATCCTGGATCGTTCGGTTCCCCGAAGCTCATCCGGGACTTGCTGTCATAGCAACAGAGCCGTAAGCGTAAACCTGCTCGGGAGCAGGTTTACTTTATGTAAACAGGATTAGATCGCGGCCACGCAGGTATGTCCGCTTCATTTATACGAAAGCAACAGCGATATTCCACCACTGTTTCACCATAAATAAATAACATCAATGTAACTAAAGATAATGCAGCACTTGATCCTTTTATTGATGTCACACAGATACATACAGGTCATTTCCTAAAAAAGGGAAATATACTATTAACATTCTATTACATGTATGTGATTATTACAGATGTAATTCATATTTCATAGTAATTGTAAATTACTTCGTGTAATCAAGATGAGAGACCACGGCTATAAAAGCGAAGGTGGATTTGGGAAGCCTGTCGCAGCCATGTCCTGTCCGTATACGCGAGCCACCCATTGCGGAAGGTGCAAGATTGATAAGGAGAGTCCTCAGAATTCAGCGTATATTGCGGGATAGACAGGATCCTTTAGCTCAGCGCGACAGTGTGCTCATTGAGAGATATCGATATTCCCGTGAGGGTATTATTTACTTAACCAACTTGTTGACGAGGGGGTGCAGGACCACCACCTGTCTTTTTTTCCTCTGCCCTTTTCTTGGTTGCTGTTATGAACAAACTAACAGAGTATTACAGGCCAGTATTACCTTGCCAAGAGACGAAAAGCAATCTAAGAGATAAATATTACCATTCTGTAGAATACTCCTGTATTCCACTTTTACTTGTTCCCATGTTCTTGTGGGTCCTGTTGTGGCTCTAATGTGAAAGGGGATATAATATAACATATTATAATATAATATAATGCCATATGATATTGGACAATATAGTGTCATATGATAGATCTACCCTACCGCCTACTGGTGTTGGCCAGAGGGGCCGATGGCGCGATATGGCAGCCTGGCTACAACCGTAGCTGCCTCCACCAGTGTGTGAATGTGGGAGTGAATGAATAGTGGTATCGTAAAGCGCTTTGGGTGCCTTGGAAAGCGCTATATAAACCCAATCCATTATTATTAGTATTATTATTAAATTACCTACGAGTTTGATTTGTCAGCAACTTTCTGCCAGCCCTCTCTCCTTGCTTCTGCAGCCTTTGCAGTGTTCCCTTGCGTTTTAATTAAACTCTGAAACTCCTGAAATCCCTCACTCATGAGTTCTTGCTCTGCTGCCGGAAAATACCGAGCACGCCCCTTCGACATTTTCGCCGACCAATCAGCGGGTTGCCGATCAATGTTTCTACTATCGATGCGTAGCCCCTTTTACGACACCCAGTGATGTCACATTACTGCGTCCAGCTGTACTAATCGTCAACAGCAGGCGTGTTCGGGGAACCGGATTAGCGAGCTCACGGTTAGCGCGATGGTTTGGTCTTGGATGTGTCATTTGATCTTGGATGTAGTGAGCGACGTACGAAGAACAGGCCCCAGGTCTTTGCTGTTAATAGGTTGAAACTGTTTCATGGTGTTTAAACAGTTTTTTGGTGGACACAGTACATATCCTGGATCTGCTGTTGATGTACCAATTGCTTGTCTAATTTTTTGGATTTTTTCAGTGAAGAATTTGGCAAAGTCATTGCAGGCCATGGTTGAATGAAGTTCAGCTGCCACTGACACAGGAGGGTTTGTTAGCCTGTCAACTGTAGAAAATAAGACCCGAGCATTATGGCTGTTTTTAGTGATGATGTCAGAGAAGTAGGACCTCCTTGCATTCCTCAGTTGTAAATTATAATTGTGAAGTTTCTCTTTATAGATGTCATAGTGAACCTGGAGGTTTGTTTTTCTCCATCTGCGCTCAGCTTTCCTACACTCTCTTTTTTCATTTTTCACCAGTGTGGAGTTTCTCCATGGAGACTTTTTCCTTCCAGAGATAACCTTCACCTTAATGGGAGCAATAGTGTCCATTACATTTAACATGTTAGCATTGAAGCTATTGACGAGCTCATTGAGTGACCCTCTGGACAGGTCAGGTGTTAATGGGAAGACCTGGTTAAAGATCTCACTACTGTGTTCAGTTATACACCGTTTTGTGATCACTGTTGTTGATATATTTGTGTGGGCTGAGATTTTACTTTCAAAGAAAACACAGTAATGATCAGACAGGCCCACATCAGACACAGTAACCTTTGAAATGCTCAGGCTCTTGGAGATCAGTAGGTCAAGAGTGTGTCCTCTATTATGTGTGGCCTCTGTTACATGCTGTGTCAGCCCAAAGTTGCCCAGAGTGTTACTCAGGTCTTTAGTCCCTTTGTCCTGAGGGTTGTCCACATGGATGTTAAAATCCCCAACAATAATTACACAGTCGAAATCAACACAGATCACAGACAGCAGTTCACTGAGGTCATTAAACAAGTCTGTGCAGTATTTGGGAGGCCTGTAAACATTAAGAAACACAACTTTGGATGGGGCCTTCAGCTGTAAAGCCACATATTCAAAAGACTGAAAACTTCCAGGAGATAGCTGCTTACATTGAAATGATTCATTAAATAAGACAGCAACCCCTCCTCCTCTCCTGCTCGCCCTGGCCTCACTGATAAAACTGTAGTTAGGAGGGGTCGTCTCAATGAGAACAGCTCCATTGTTACTTTGGTCCAACCAAGTTTCAGTTAGAAACATAAAATCAAGGCTGTGCTCAGTGATTAAATCATTAATTAAAAATGTTTTCCCAGCTAAAGATCTAACGTTTAATAAAGCCAACTTAAGTGTTTTAGAGGTATTACTTGTCCCTCGTGTTTGGGAGCAGTCTGTGGCGCACAAGGTATGTTTACTATATTTAAAGATCTTTTAGAGTGCAGCTCTCTGTGTTTTGACCAGGCCACATGTCTCCTGTCACCTAAAAGTACAGAAATTTTAAAACCTTCTAGTAAACAGGGTCCCAGCTTCTCCTGGGAAAAGTCACCACTGCCATAATCCTCACAGCCCAGACCCTTCACACATCACGCATCAGACTGCGGAGACAAAGCATGAAGGTGGTAAGGAGGAACTAAGGGGGGCGAGGCTGGGCAATGTGACTTCGATTGCTCTGTTGAGGGTGGGGCTCGATGGCGAACCTTTGGCCGCTCTGGTGGGGGGTTTATGGGGGACAAAAAGGGATTGGGACGGGGGGTAGATCTGAGCCCAGCATTGACCCGCTCCATCATCTCCTCAGTGAATTTCAGGTGTGGGGAGGAGGGAGAAAGGGAGGGGGAGGAGGGTGATGGCCTGTCAGGGGTTTGGGGGACTGGGGAAGGTCGAGGTCCCTTGTCCTGGTCGTTGGTGTTGTTGAGAGAGTTGGAGGCAAATAGGGACCCCTCTTCTTGCCTTAGATGTCTCTCCTTTCTGAGGCTCTTCCCGGGTGGGGGCAAATGGAGCTCCTCCTCAAGGTTTCTGCTGGGCTTTGTCTGTTCTTGGAGTACTGTTTGTTCCTCTTTATGAGATAACTCCTCGTTTATCTCAGCCTCAGTGCAAACAAACAATTAATTCAACACCTGAAACCTGGTAATTGGCCACCAGTTGGAGATGATTTGAGCTTTGTGACATGCCGGAAGCAGAAGATGGTACACTGTGCTCATAAAAGTAGGATAAGGTCAGCATCAATACTCAGGTAAGCTGTGGTGTTTAACTGTTGCTCAGTTAGCATTATGGAGCCCGAAGTGTGCCAGGAAAATATCCCTCACAGCATTACACCAACAGCCAGAAGCACAGGACAGATACATGCCTTCATGTCGTTTTAGCTGACCGGAGTGGTGCCCAGTGATGCTCTTCTGCTGGTGTAGCCCATCAGCTCCAATGTTCAATGTGCTGTGTGTTCAGAGATGCTCTCCTGCACATCTTGGTTATCTGCCTTTCTATCATCTTAAAGCAGTCTGGCCGTTCTTCTCTGGCCTCTAGCATCCACAAGGCATTTTCACCCTGCTGCTGGTCATCTCCTCTTTTTGCACACCCTTCTCTGTGAACCCGCACTCAACACGTGACCGTGTCTATATGCCTAAATGCAATGAATTGCTGCCACGTCATTTGCTGACCTGTGCGAACGGTCGAACAGCTGTACCTACTAAAGTGGCCAGTGAGTGTAAGCGGTAATGTAATTCCATGCTCAAGTGGTTCTGAAACCAGGACTGAATCCACATTACAAACATCTGCAGTGTCTACAGGTGTTTTGTGTGTACTCTACTACAGCGTCACTGACCATGGCCACAAAATGCAGCAGGTTCATCCCCGGCTTGTTGGCTTTGGTGTCAGCCAGTGAAAGGAGGGATGACAGCTTGAATCCCACAGCGTTCCCTGCATAGCCACCCTGAGAACAGAAGGATATTTTACACAGAGAAATGAACAATATCATAGAATCACAGCTGGAAATAACGTGAAACAATAAGACTGCCCGAGTGATACAGTGGTCCCTCGTTTAACGCAGGTGTGACGTTCCAAAAATAACCCGCGATAGGTAAAATCTGCGAAGTAGCCAACTTTATTTTTTTTAATTATTATAGATATTTTAAGGCTGTAAAACCCCTCACTACACACTTTAGACACTTTTCTCAGACAAACATGAACATTAACACTTTTCTCTCTTGTTTAAACAAGTTCAAACCTTCGTAGAAAAACAGGTCCAGTATAGAATGAATTGTTTGTTGGGGAGAAAACGTACAAACATACAGTGCAGCACTTCAGAGTCACACTGCTAGTGATCGAAGATTTATGTAAATTTGACAAGCTGAACGCATTCTGTACTGTACAGGAGGCATGGCACGAGATTGCCTGACAATGGTCTACAGCCAATCAGGATGCAGAACACAATGCGCTGTGAGAAAAAAAAAAAAGCATGCAAAATTGCACCAAAAAAATTCTGCGAAACAGCGAGACTGCGAAAGGTGAACCGCGTTATAGCGAGAGACCACAGTACAGCTTTCTTCTCTGAGCAGTGATTTTGTTTTGGTTTCCAACAAATACTGACAAAAGGTTTTATTATTTATTTATCTGGAAAAATACAAAAAATAAAAAATAAATCAGGACTGAATCGAAACATCTTGCGTGTTCAGAGGCAGCAGAGATGTGTTCGCGTATGCGAACGTAACCTGAGAAGCTCTTACCGCGTTCATAATGTTTCCTGCCTGCAGCACCAGATGCAGGATAGCATGAAGCTCCTCACAGCTCATCAGCTCTTTAAGGAGATATCAATATAAACTCAATTAGAGACTCCAGAGAAGATGTATGACAAACCATCTCGTTTTCATTTATCACTACCATACAGGAAATCTATCAGCAGTAATGTGTCCTTGTGTGATTCAGTCATAAACCTAAAATTACCACTTTAAAGTAAAAGGGTAAATGTTAGCACATTGAAAAGTTTTAATTAAATTTTGTCATAAAAGTTCCAGGTAATTATTCCACACAGTGTTTAAGTGATTGCCCTGCAATGCAGTGAAAAGGTCACAGTACTGTAGAGGAGGGTCTTAAGAAAAAATCCAATACAGCACAAAGACGCAAGACAGTGTGACTCAGCTAAAATGGCAACCTGGTTCAACCAATGGCTGAAAATATAATTAAAAAGGTTTCCAGATCAGTTTATCAATATGGTGATTTTACAGTAAATCACAAATTCAACAGTACATGTCAGCTTTAGCTCCAGAAGAAAAAAAAGAAAAGATATAATATTAGTGTGCACATTCATGAGATAAACTGTAATAACCGTTTGGATCACAGTGATCTCCTATTAAGTGCTACCATCAGGTCACAAGATCCAGCACGTTGTTATATAACCCATACAAAACAAATACTGTTTCCATCAGCTGAGCTTTGTCTCAGTGATAATAAGTAAAAAAAACATGATAAATACTACATAATGTGGTCAGTGCGAGACTTGCAGCAACCTCCACCACTGAAATTTTAAGTGTCAAAACTGCAGTTCCTCAAGTGGCCACTTGAGGCTGGAAACATCCCCAAAGAGTCCTACGGTATGTTAAAATATCCACGTTCAAAGCTGAAATAAACATGTTCATGGTACAAGAACTTCTCCCTCTTTATGACATCTGTAGAGAGGGTGTTTTTTTTGTTTTTTTAAACATGAACAAAATTCCTCCAGAAAAGTTGGGACACTGATGAATTGCAAATTACAAAAAACCTCATATGTTATTCACAATAAAACATTGCGTGTATAAACGCAGCCACAGCTTGTTTAACTTTGACTGAAAGGTCTGAGAAAGCACAGCGGCATTTCTTCATCGTGTTCACATGTGAGGTTGGAACTCACCTCTAACTGTATGGAAGGATGCTGCTAGTGAAGGTTAGCATGCCTTTTAACATTACAGTAAATGATAGATTATAGCACGATGCTACCCAAGCTAGCAATACATTTAACAGAGTACAGCTGGCTTACAAAAATAAATAAAAAACAAGCGAAATGACCAAACTAGCCAAACTCAGGTCTTTCAAATGGTAGTCCATGGCCTAACAGGTCACACTGTGGTGACTATATAAAGTTATTTTTTATTTATTCATTTTTTATAATAATCCAACACTGTGAGTAACTAATATGTATAGAGCTGCTCGACTCTTAAGTTACATTTCAGTGAAACTGCTTTTTTTTTGGTCATGAGTGTCCTCACGTCAAAATGAGATCGTCCTGCTTTCTGTGTGTGTGCAAATGTGTTAGAGCAAGTGTGTTATTATTACGTTTAGTCACAACACGGACGACATCAATCTCATGGCCCATCGCAGCACAACAAGGGAGGAACTCTTCCTGGAGGACCATGGCCTCAATCCGAACCTCGAACCTGTCAGAGACGGAGTTCAGAGTTTAAATCTGAGAAAAGATTCGACTCTCTTGCTCAACACTGAGATCCTTAAGAAAAGACAAATTGTTATTATAATGCAGCAGGCTGAGAGAAATGCCTCCTGCTTCCCCCTGGAGAGTACCTTAACACTCCATCTTGCTGCTGAGTGGCAGTAAAACTTGACGACTTTTAGCACCTTAACATCCTCATAATATTTTCTAATCATCATTTCAATTATAGCACGAACCAAAAACGACTTCTGACTAATTTCACTGGACAAATGCTCCATTTCAGCCCAATCAGTCTGCATTAGTTCTCCATAATAATCCCTGCAGGGACTGCATCCTCTGAATGACACTAATACCATTTTAATGCGCTATCACACAGTGCTGCTGGACAAAAAGGAAATTCAAAGGAAGTTACTCAGTCCCCGTTCAGAAAAGATGGAAACATGCTTTCAGTTGAATGAACTGAAAATATTATGTAATAAGACCCTTTATACGTGTGGATGGGCTGTTTTATCATCCAAAGGAAGGAGATAAAATGAAATCAAGCATTATATCCTTTTTTACAAAGCTGACAAATGTGCACATTCCCCAGTCGTATTAATATTATTGAAAATGAACACTTGATAGATTAAATACAAGTCAGAGAGCAGCCGTAAACTCTTTGGAGAGTCGGCACAAAATCATGAAACTCTGCACTCAGTTTTGAGTCTTTATCTTCCACTGACTGTCAAACTGCTGACTTGACATTCCTTTTTAATGGAAACTGGATTATATACATGCCCACTGAAACCAACTCACCGTGGCACCTGGATCAAGAGGTACATAAAGGAATCGACCAGTGTCAGCTTGTCTGGATCTCCTTTGAATGCCTGCAGCTTCTTAATCTGCAGAGAAAATAAAGAGGAACAGGAAGCTCAGCAGGGCGCTTTCAATCCACGTAAACTGCCTTTTATCATTAGCTGTGCTCTGTGATTCAAAAGCTTAATGCTATTCATGCTTGGCTAAAAATCACAGGCAAGTACACAAACACGGACCTCCTCTGCGTCGGGCAGGAGCTTCAGCAGGTCTTTGAGCAGCTCCGCTCCATAAATCTTTCCTTCTCCTTTTCGTATGTCTTCGACAATGGAGCGGTTGGACCTGAAAGACAGTTTGTTTCTGTAAAGTTCAGAGATAAATTGCACAGGTGCTTCCTTTAATGCCTGCCCTCCTCTGTTTACAAAGGCACAAAACACAGCTTTTGCAGAGAGCATTAGGCGTCTCTGCCTGGCTTTCTTATTAGCAATATAAATAAAAGAGAAATCTGTTTTCACAAACCCTTTAGGGCACAACTGGTCTACTTTCATGTTTGAGGCTTTAAAATGACTAAAAAGACAATATTAGGTAAGCTGACACTTAGATGTGATTCAAACACTTTAACAAACGCCAGCCTTCAAAAGGTATGCAATACATGTTTATTTAACTCGTGATATGGTAATTTATTTTATTAGGTTAAATTACCAGGTTTTATTTTCTGAATTTCTTGCAATGTTAGGATGAGAACGCGGAAAAAGGAATTATTTGCTCCACGTGATTATTCAGGTTGAGCGGTTTGACGACAAGTTTGAGCGACGAGGCCGACATGGTTTGGACATGTGCAGACGATGGAAAGGGGATATACTGGACAAAGGGTGTTGAAGATGGAGCTGCCAGGTAGGAGGAACAGACGAAGAACACAGAGGAGACTGATGGATGCTGGTGTGATAGGGGAGGATGTTAGGGGTGGGGTGAGATGCTGTGGAGACCCCGAATCAGGCGGGGAGACAAAGATAGGATTTTTTTTTTAAGTAACGAACCCGGCAAAAGTTCAAAGCCTCGTTGAAGCCTATAAAGAACTTTTCAGTGCAATATAAAAAAAATGAGACATTTATTTATCTATTTGTTTTTCACAAAGATAATATTAGACTGTTTGTGGAAATTCCCACAAACCCTTTAATAGCCATGAGAGGAAAAACAGCTGGTTCATTGTTCCAACACCAGGAAGGGTACACATTTTCCCTCCCGACCAACGATGGGAATTTCATTTCCAGTTCTGTGGTGTAGACCTGTGCAGGTAGGCTGATGACTGAGTGTGAATATACTGAAGTTGGAACACCCCCCCCCCCTTTATTTTTTTTAAACAAGGGGGGAACCACTTGGTGGTATTTTCAACAAAAAGACAATTTCTAATCAATCACAGTCAGAATACTTTATTAATCCCTAAGGAAATTATGTGGTTACAGTTGCTCCATGATAACAAGGACAGTAAAAGACTGAACTATTTTAAATACTACAACATATTGCAAACATAAGAAATCACTCTAATATATGCAATATACTAATATACATCTATGTTTTTGGGGCTGTCACATTCTCCAGCACAGCAAGAAATCAAATTTGCTTAAACTCTTGTTTATGCCTCAGGCTACTGTCTACTGATATCAGTGACAGGATCCAAATATTTCTAATGTAACAGGTGTATTAAAAAAAAAAGAAAGAAGAAGAAAAAAAAAAGCTCTTAGCTGACTGGGGTGGAAATCATTAAATGCTACAACAAGCTGTAAAAGTAATTCACTTTATGTTTGAGGTTTCGAGTTTTCAGCCGTTTTATAGTAAAGTGCTGCGTAAAGTGCAGCTTATGACATAATTGGCTCAAATGCATTGCAGCAGAAGATTAATGCATACTCCTTAAAATAAAAAGCAACAAAAACAAAAGTAAACGCTGACTGTAATGAGGTCACTGCTCCTACTCTGTCTTGACTCAGTGCAATGGCTCGCAGTCAAATGTCATTAAAATCCTGTGGAGAGCCATGCAAATAGACCTTCAGGCAAACAGATACCTAACACACTTTTTGCTCTCTATTCTAGACAAGTTATGCAACTCAATCCTGAGTCTGGTCAAACTCACTTTGAAACTTCCCGAACCAAATACAGTGGGGCAAAAAAGTATTTAGTCAGCCACCGATTGTGCAAGTTCCCCCACTTAAAATGATGACAGAGGTCAGTAATTTGCACCAGAGGTACACTTCAACTGTGAGAGACAGAATGTGAAAAAAAAAAAATCCATGAATCCACATGGTAGGATTTGTAAAGAATTTATTTGTAAATCAGGGTGGAAAATAAGTATTTGGTCAATAACAAAAATACAACTCAATACTTTGTAACATAACCTTTGTTGGCAATAACAGAGGTCAAACGTTTACTATAGGTCTTTACCAGGTTTGCACACACAGTAGCTGGTATTTTGGCCCATTCCTCCATGCAGATCTTCTCGAGAGCAGTGATGTTTTGGGGCTGTTGCCGAGCAACACGGACTTTCAACTCCCGCCACAGATTTTCTATGGGGTTGAGGTCTGGAGACTGGCTAGGCCACTCCAGGACTTTCAAATGCTTCTTACGGAGCCACTCCTTTGTTGCCCGGGCGGTGTGTTTTGGATCATTGTCATGTTGGAAGACCCAGCCTCGTTTCATCTTCAAAGTTCTCACTGATGGAAGGAGGTTCTGGCTCAAAATCTCACGATACATGGCCCCATTCATTCTGTCCTTAACACGGATCAGTCGTCCTGTTCCCTTGGCAGAAAAACAGCCCCATAGCATGATGTTTCCACCCCCATGCTTCACAGTAGGTATGGTGTTCTTGGGATGCAACTCAGTATTCTTCTTCCTCCAAACACGACGAGTTGAGTTTATACCAAAAAGTTCTACTTTGGTTTCATCTGACCACATGACATTCTCCCAATCCTCTGCTGTATCATCCATGTGCTCTCTGGCAAACTTCAGACGGGCCTGGACATGCACTGGCTTCAGCAGCGGAACACGTCTGGCACTGCGGGATTTGATTCCCTGCCGTTGTAGTGTGTTACTGATGGTGACCTTTGTTACTTTGGTCCCAGCTCTCTGCAGGTCATTCACCAGGTCCCTCCGTGTGGTTCTGGGATCTTTGCTCACCGTTCTCATGATCATTTTGACCCCACGGGATGAGATCTTGCGTGGAGCCCCAGATCGAGGGAGATTATCAGTGGTCTTGTATGTCTTCCATTTTCTGATGATTGCTCCCACAGTTGATTTTTTCACACCAAGCTGCTTGCCTATTGTAGATTCACTCTTCCCAGTCTGGTGCAGGTCTACAATACTTTTCCTGGTGTCCTTCGAAAGCTCTTTGGTCTTGGCCATGGCAGAGTTTGGAGTCTGACTGTTTGAGGCTGTGGACAGGTGTCTTTTATACAGATGATGAGTTCAAACAGGTGCCATTCATACAGGTAACGAGTGGGGGACAGAAAAGTTTCTTACAGAAGACGTTACAGGTCTGTGAGAGCCAGAGATTTTCCTTGTTTGACGTGACCAAATACTTATTTTCCACCCTGATTTACGAATAAATTCTTTACAAATCCTACCATGTGAATTCATGGATTTTTTTTTCACATTCTGTCTCTCACAGTTGAAGTGTACCTCTGGTCCAAATTACTGACCTCTGTCATCATTTTAAGTGGGGGAACTTGCACAATCGGTGGCTGACTAAATACTTTTTTGCCCCACTGTAATTTAGAACAATGGATGCCTAAGAAGGCTTATTAGACTACCTGGCACAGATTTGGACCCTTTCCTTAGTTATGAAAGTTAAACTGATTGATTGAAAATGAGAACGTGTCCATGATAATGATAGCATCTGATCTGAACTGTCCTTAGCAACAGCATGAAGAGCTGATGAGAGGCGTGCTTGGAAAAGCCACGAGGGAAAATAAAAAACAATCTCTAATTTAGTTAAAGTCAAACAACCGTTCGTGGGATTTTTTGTTGGTTGGTCACAGTAAACTCTTTGGTTATGGTAAACCTCACTGCTCTTCTAATGATGGTCATTTAATCCTCTAACTTAAGTAGCTCTGTACTTGACAAAATTAAACACTGGCTGTAACACAGAGCAAGAAAGGTTTTACGAAAACTACGTCACCACTGCCACTAAAGTGATGCTCAAAGTTTCAGTGTGTGTGTGTGTGAGCAAATGGAAGCACGATATGTCTTAAAATGTTGCATGTTCAGTCATTGCAATGGTTTGTTTTGTTTTTACACTTATTTACATAACTTCCCAACAAATTTCAGAAATGGGTTTGTACTTTTCATGTCTTACTGACCATTCAAAGCACTTCAGATTAAAAGTCAGACTTTGCATTCATACACTGGTTTATTCTGTGGCTCAGGGGTCTCAAACTTAAATGATCTGGGGGCCACTGCTGGCCATTGTCATTGTAGGGTCTCTTTAGTGTTCAAGAGGCACAAAAACAAACAAACAAGAAAACACCCATAAATATTTCCAAAAATCTAGCGTTTGCTTCTTTTTTTTTTTTTACTGAATAATACAATATTGTAAAATAAGACAAAACTGAAAAAGTGAGCACAAATCTTTTTTCCTCATTCTTAACTGAAGCCTTTTGGTGAACTTACAAAAACACAGATTTCAAATCAATATACGTCAATATAATCAATGGTAACAGTTGGGAAACTTACTTCTTAAACTGCTTGAGGAAAATGCCCACGTTCATCCCCCTCTTTGAGTCAAGGATGTTGACCTGAGGAAAGAAAAAAAAACACAAGACACTACGATAAAACTCTGTTGAAGCTCTAGTTAAAATACAGCCAAACAAACACACCCACTCCTGGGTGTTGTTGGTTGTCTCTACGTGAGGTTCAAACCTCCTTCAGAAGCTTGTACGACTCGCACAGAAAACACGTGACTGTGCAGCACATACATTTTTAAAAAATGACCCTGAGGCCCAATTACTACTTTTAAATAGCAACTGGGCACTTTTGTGGTTTGAACTAAAGATGGTGTTTAAAGCATGCTGCAACTGTCTATGTTAAGTTAACCAGTATTGGACATGGTTGGAGACACTGGGAGTGGATGGAGTTCATACTTGCAATAATTTAACAACTCATTCAATAGAAAAATCAAATCTAGTTAATTCATGCCTGAACCTTAATCACCACCTTAATGTCTGCAGTCTAAACTCACCATTAATTGTCAGAAGTTCAGTATTTTAAGCGCCCGTCTTAAACCTTCATGACAGTCACTCACCTCGTCTTTCTTGGTCTCCTTAAAGGAGCGTGATCGGGATACGTGAGTTGATGTTGCAGTTGATGCTGCTGACCCACGGAGGCCCGTCCCCGCATCCTCCTGCTGCCCAAACAGCTCCTCCACCGAGCGAACATCGATCTGGTACTGCTGCTGCCGCACCGCCAGCGTCCAGATGTTCGGCTTCCCGCGCACCTTCTCCTCTGGGATAGGCTTCCAGTAGAAGCTGCGGACCCGGCGCTTTTTCCTCCCATTGTGGTTGGATGATGTGTTTGCCAGGGGCGGAGGGGGCGGCGGTGCCCCAGGAGGTGGGGGCGGGAGGGGAGGAGGGGGCGGCACTTCATTCTGGGTGGTGTCAGAAAGCAAGGTGGGTTGACCGTGCCCAGACATAGAAGAAGGGTCTGAGGTAGTGATGGAGGAAGTGGTGCAGCTGCTCCCCTCGCTGCTACAGCTCTCTGGCTCATTTGTTGTGGATGTACAACTCATAACAAGCATCGCAAGGTTGAGCAGTCAGCATACAGTCTCTGTGCTGACACAAACTAAACAAATATGTGATCTGTATCTCCTGAATTTCCAGAGAACATCAGCTCGCTGCAGCGCTGGTTGGTGTCTCCTAATCTAGTCACTATGAACAGGCTGCATCCATTGATTCATCTCCGTCACTCAGCTGGTCATCCATCGCCCTAAGTGGGGCCTTTGAAAGACACCTCCCAGAGGTAGTGGGCAGGGGGAAATGATGGCCATGGAGCTACAAGAGCAACACAAATGACACAGGACAGGATTATACAGCGGTATCCATGCATATCATCGTCATCGACTATCTGGAATTTGAGGAAATTAAACAAGGGCACGACAGAACAAAGACGAGGGGGACCCAGTGAAGGAAACTGCAAATCCTGTTCTTTTCCATTTTTGAAGGGCTTTGAAGTCAAGCTGTGGGGTGTATAATGACTACAGACATGACACACACCCCTTAGGTTCTGTTACACAATTTCTTTTTTTTTTTTTTTTTTAAAACAGCCCTCATCTATGCAGCCACCAAGACAATACCGATATGCACTGTATCCCAAAAGTGACGGTTGAAGTCACACCTGAACATGTATTTAAATAGTTATTTGTGTTTCATTTTATTCAACATGAAAATACAGTTCATTTTAAAAATCCAGTAAGAGTTCGTCTAAGTCTGAGAAACAAATGGTTAAAAGTGGATTTTGTCAGACAACTCTGCAAGCTAATCTCGGAAAACAGTTTTCACATTAAGTATTTTTTTTAGAAAAAAACCTTGGCTTGTAAACCTTCCATCAGTCCTACATTTTCTGCCAGTTTCTTTGTCTTAAAGACAAATTAGACTTTGTCATCATTAAAATGACAATCTGTCACATTTGCAGGAGAGCCTGTGTTTAATAAAAGCCTCGCTGTATGGCGACAGTGGATTGATAATGTTAAATGAGAGGATGCAATATTTCTTTATCTCACCTTAAATTTCTGTAGGACATTCTGCACTGGCTGGTGCACAGCAGTAAGGACATTTTAAGTTTGTTGACGCTGCATCTCTGGAAGTAGAGTATTAGTCATCTCCTATGAAGTTTTAGAATTTACATTGTTTTACAGAGTTAATGTCACCATCACAGCCAATGTCTGTGAGAGACTCCTGTGAGGTATATGGGCTCAGCTCCCTCACCATCTACCCTTCACACTGGACTTCTTACTGGCTGCACCATTTTGTTAATAAATGATGTTCATTTAAAAGTAAACTGGTGTTGTGTTCCTCCTTGCCTTGCAGCCTTTCGAGCTGTAACGGTTATACATTATACATTTATTTATTAATAAATGAATTATTAAAAACACAACTGCTTACCACCACACACACACACACAAGCTGTGCTTTTGAATATAGCACAGATATTTGTGAAACATTAAATTCTTTATACGTCTCGCTCATGAACACTTTAGAAAATCATCCTCATTGAACACTCTCTGAAATGAGTGATCAAATGATAATTTGTGGACACTAAGAACCACTACTTAGGCCAGAAGGAAGGGAAGTGCTTGAGTTTCCTCCTCTTGCTTTTATTAACTGAATGGCAGCGCTCACTGCAGCTCTCAGTTGGAGGGAAACTGTGTTAAGTTTCAGGAGAACACATCACTCAGTGCTGGAGCTGACGTGGCTACAGTGATCTGATACTCCTCTTTATAAAAGGGTAGTTGAACAGAGGATCTGACAGAAAACAGCAGATGAACAAGATGTATGGTGGCCATGAGGGGGAGGGTACATTGTTTCCAGCACTTTGAAGAAAATAATGTGGTTTCAGAGAAAATGAACTGCTGTGATAACAAATTTCTGGTATCGATAACGGTCCATGTGGTCTCCTTCTGCTGGTTTCTAGAATTAACGCTTTGCCTCTTACACAATCGTAACATCTTAAATGGTAGTCTGCCATTGGTTCGCAGCCTTGTCAACATGATACTGATGAGGTTATAACTAATTAATAAAGCCTGCGTCACTAATAGCTTCATGTTGCCAACATTGGCTTGCACGTTCAGGTGCCCTGTCCTCAGAACTGGACCACACCATCAGTCATCTTTAATTCATCAGATGGTGAGAACATCTGACCTCACACCAACTCCCCACAGTCTGCGGTGAGGAGAAATGGCTACTGCTAACACGTGCTGCTTTAGGATCTGTTTACAGTGTTCGCTGTCATATCAGCTTTAAAGAAGCACTTGATTTCTTTCTTGTGAAACATTAGATGAGAAGATCAATAGCTTGCATGTCTGTTAATAACAGGGCTCCAGCTAGGCATCATTAGCTTGATGCTAGAAACGGGACTGCAGAATGATCAAGATTCATTGTAAACCATCACGTGTTCAAAATCCAGACCGTGGAACACCAAAACCTTCTTTAATACACGCTCATCACTCAGCCAGTGTCAAGACAACCTGCTGGAGTTTAAACCATGGATTTACACATAATGGTCTGGTTTGAAGAGTCTTTATTTCTGCTCCAACATTCATGCCAAGGTCATAAACACATGAAAACATTGATCCAACCTACACTGTATGAACAGTTCAGGCTGAAGGTGATGGGGGATATTTTTTGGCCCACCTTGGGCTCATAAATACCAACTGGTCATCATTTAAAACACCACAGCCTACCTGAGTCTTGTTGCTCATCATGTTCATCTCTTTATGACCACAGCGTACCCTTCTTCTAATGGCTGCTTCCAGCTGAATAATAAACCATATCACAAAGCTCAGTTTAACTCAAACTGATTCTTGAACATGAAAACGAGTTCACTGTACTCAAACGGCCTCTATAATCACCACATCTTGATCAGAGCACCTTAGGGATGTGGTGGAAATCTGCAACAACTGCGTGATGCTATCATGTCAACCAAAATCTCTGTGGAATGTTTGCAGCAACTTGTTAAATCTATGCCATGATTCAACTTCTAAAAGCATAAAGAGATCCAACCTGATACTTGCTAGGTGTACGTAGCAAAGTGATTTGTGAGTGTAGGTCAGTCACAACAAATTTAAAGATCAGAGCTCAGGTTCACAGGTTAACAGTGAGCTCTGACTAAAGCTATAAGACACTTATGAGTATTACTATACACCTGGCAGCAGTGTAGCTAGGAAACCGTTTACTCAAGCTATAAACTGTAAGCTATAAAAACTTGAAAACACCATAAAGACAACAAACATCTGTTATTTCACAACTGACACTTTACAGATTGTTTACTTAATCCCTGCAACACCACTGTATCACATTATGGTGTCTTTATGGACTAGACAAATGAGACATAAAGTGATGCTGACAAAGAAGCTCGGGAGATGCTTTTCACATAAAAAAGTCTAAGTTATTAAAAAAGATGAATCTTCTGCTGGCACTAACCGTGTGTCTAATAGATTCTAAATATATAAAATATAAAGCCAGAGATGATGAGCCTGCTATATGGACGGGCTTTTTGTGCTTAATTATTTAAATGAATTAAAGTTTAAAAAGTTTTAATAAAGGTGGACTTTTTTCACCTAAAAGCCAAACTAGCAGTTTTTCATTGGTTCCAGTCATGTGTGTGATAACTCCATGCGCCAAACCATTCCTCTAAAACTGAGTCCAAACGTTCCTGTCAGCTTTGTTTCAGGTTTAATGTACATTAGTTCTGTGTCTCTAAAGCGAATGACCCAGTGTCAGTGACTGGTTTGTGGCATTTCACATTCATTTAATTAAATTTCACACTGCATGAGGAAAAACCACCAACAATAGGGCAGTAACCAATGTCATCTGTCTAACGTGATTCACAGAGGAGGAAAAACATCAGTCAGTAACACGACACTGGGAAGGCCTGAGGGAATGAAATCAGACGGGCGGTTGCCAGGCTCAACACATCCACCTGCTGCCACGAGCTTCATCTAAAACATCCACCTGCTGTCGACCCGGGGGCAATCTCGCTCCAATCACTCTTCATTGGTGACAGCAAACACCACACCCTCTATGACTAACTGACCATCCACCTCTAACACAAACCAAGCTGACAACAGTCACGTTGTTATGAGCAGTTCGCCTGTCTTCTACAGCAGAAGGCTGTAGATCCTTCGCCTCCCAAAATATATCACTGCTACTGATCCAATGAGAACCACAGAAGCATCTGTACCAACTCTACCGGTTGTCCGAACCTGACTAGTCTGCATATCTTTTGAGCAAAAACTCTCCAAATTGGAATTTTCTTGTGTTTTCTTCTATGAGGTGAAATAACAGATAACAAGTTTATGAACTGAAGACACAAAAAAACCAAAAACAAACTTTAACGTGAGATAAGAGAACTCAGGAGAAAAAAAATCCCCTCTAGACTTACTAAACTTTTACACTGAGAAGAGAGTTGAACAGAAAAACAAGTTGTGTCTTTTATGCCTTTGGGGACACTCAGTGAGAGGTGAAAGCAAAAATCAGGGAATAAAGAAACACAGAAACTTAACTAGGCTTGACCCAAAGACTGAGCTCACAAACAACAAAACACCAGATGATATCATGAAGTTATACAGTTCTCTCCCTAAAGTTTACCAAAAGAGTGAAGCATAAGTCAAGTGTGAAATGCATTTATATATCATCTTTAAAAGCTACTCCTCACTCCCTCTGTTCCTCCAACAACAAACTGCGGAGTAGACCAGTAAGCCTTCAGTCACACAGGTATAGAGACGAGTTGGTGATCTCCCTGGCAACCTCTGGTCATTAGAGGAAATTGTGTATTGTCCCTTTGGGACAGCCAACATCCATTCACCAACCAGTCAGGGGCTGGCGAATGGATGCTTTTGAGGATGGTACACCATCCTCCAAAATAAAAGTCAGGTCATACTACTGCAATCAACAGATTTCAAAAAAGGCAAAACTTTTACTTTGAAGGCGAATATTCTTTGTTTCCTGTTCATGTCAAACTCTTCAGTTTCACTACAGCAAGTTGTCACTAACTGGTCTCTAAGCCTTTGTGCTTGGCAGCTAATGGAGACTTAAGGATGCGTGCACAGGACAGGCAACCTCTTTATCCAAACCAAAAAACTGACAGAAATTAATTTAAATTTGAGGTGCCTCCCATCTTTGACATGTGCTGAAGAATGAATTACATCTAATGATAATTAGCTACACCATGCTGTGCAGCTTCTTTAAGCTGTTTCAGCTGAAAGCCCATTACTGCATAAATTCATGCAGTAATGGGCTCTTTTGTCTGTTGTGCATTTGCCATTTGTGTGTTT